AATAAGAAGTCGATGATCACCGTTGATCGGTAGCCATCGATGTGTACAAAAGGACCATTTTGCGTTGCTTCTTTCCATTCTTTTATTCTGTTGTTGCTGATCGGCTCTGACCTGGGAAACGAAGAAAAACTGTACCTCTTGACATGACTTTTAGGACCTGCACAGAAGCTTCACCGGGCTGATATGATGACAGTTAGGGCATTCCATGTCTATTTTCCTAAGCTAATCACTTGATTTATTGATTGTGTAGTAAGTCTTTGGAAAACATCTAGTCTAATTAAAAGAAACATTCAAGGGTTAGCTTAAGCTTTAAGGCAAGATTCAAAGGACCAGCACTCTCTCTTATGCAACCTGACATCATTTGTAAATATAGACAAGAATAAAAAGACAGAAGACATGTAGGCCCTCTTCAACATCAAATTGAATTGCTCGGCTGGCTTCTGCTAAAAGCAGGAGACATGGATGATTTATTCTTTCGTCTTAGATTAATGCCAATCACGTTTTGAAATTGTTTTTGGGATAACTACAAAGCCCTAAAGCGTGAGTCTCCCGGGGCATGTTCAAAGCAATTTTAAATTAGTTTGTTTGCTGTATCACGTTGAACTTGATCCTATTAGCTCGAGTTAAGTCAGATAAATTAGACGAAATTAACCGGTAAGCGAGTAAAAGTTCTGTCATTTTAAAATTGATATTCAAAGCGTGGACAAATTCTCCGCAAGTTCACATACATTGTATTGGATCATGCAAGGGTTTGATACGAGGGTTGATATGATGCTGAAAGACATCAGTCTAAGATTTTTTATTTGTTTTTATATTTTAAAAGTAATGGGTTTGATATGATGTTGAAAGATATCAGTCTAGCATTTTTTTATTTGTTTTTGTATTTTAAAAGTAATTTTTTTTAAATTAAATTTTTATTTTTTTTATTTTTAGATCATTTTAATATGTTGATGTTAAAAATAATTTTTTAAAAATAAAATAATTTTATTTTAATATATTTTAAAAAACATTATAAAAAATAACTTTACCAAACTTTCCAATACCCTCGAAATAATACTGTAATCTGGATATGTGCCCACCCCCAGGGTAGAAAACTATTAAAGGCAACAGCCCTGAACATCTTGTTAGAATATGTATCGTGGCTCAGGTATTGTTCCAACTTGAACCCAGTTCATTGGAAAAGACAAATTGTCTTTGTCGATACCTGTCAATTTAATGAGATAATGCATGTTATTCTAAAGTGGGTATCTAAAAATTAATGGAATGTAGGTATGTAAATTAATACATAATAGTTAAGGAAGGACCTATCAGTTTGCTGCAATGTGTTCAAGAACAATGCCTGGAACCCTGCAAGCCAGTGTAGGTTTACTCGCATAATTTTCCTAGTAGATTCGTTCACATAATATCTGGAACACGAAGAAAAAAAATATCACCCCATCAGATCTCTGGAAAAAAGGTCAAATCTTTTTTTTTTTGTTCAAAGTTTCCATTATTCTTTTCCAGGTTCCACATCTTTTTCTTTCCATATTAAAATTTAAAAATATATATATTTTGCATGAACACACAAACAAGAATACACGTTCAGAATATTAATCATTACAGTTATTTTTTTTATGTTATCTTGAATATTCTCTACTGTCAGTCTGCTGGACAGCCAAACAATTCCTTAAAATGAGAAAATATTAAAAAAAATCTCTCATCCTCCAAGTACAAAGGGGAGGGGTAGATTTGGCGTCTGATTGAATCGATGACTTGTTCTGACATGAGGTGGGTGATGCGAAGAGATTGAAGTCAAAGAAACTGTTGTTTGGCTACAGCCGTTCAATTCACATTGAACCCGCACGTAGAAAAAATATCAATATCGGACAGGATTAGAAACTGCAAAAGCATTAATCTTGATGGACCCGCAAATCCATCTCAATCTAGTCAAGTCCCTTTGAATTAATTTATCGTCCTATCAGGGATCTGCAAGGGTGTCTCTAGCTTGGCTTTCTAGCCATGAGATTTGAGGGATCTATTTTCCACACAGAAAACCATGGACCATGGACCCGGACCCCGAACCCAATAAGATCACTTCTAATTTTATTTTGTTTTCTTTCTTTGTATACATACTTATAACCATCTAAATTACATCTTAAAATTTTATTTAATAATTAAAATATTTTTTTACATAATATCAGCCTTAATAATAATCACAGGTTAAAATATTATTATTATTATTATTTATTTAATAAAAATTAAGTATAAAATAATATAAGTTTGTGCAAATTTCAAGTTTTAAAAAAAAATATTTTAAAAAATATATTATAAATTATATTTTAAAAATTAACCAAATAATTTAAATTATTAAACTAAAATAACTTTTTAAGGTATCCTTACATAATTGATTACGCTCAAATTCCTACTTTGAACGTTGATTCTTCAACAAATATTGTAGCCTGTAGCTGAGCACGGAGCGAAATGGACACCGAAATGACATTTCTATTAAGAAGCCAAGTCAAACAATTGGCCGTGATAATTGGATACTCATGTCTGATGAGATAAATGCCAGCGAGTGTTAACAGAGCATGCAGAGAAGTATCTTTCCATTTTGAATTGACAGAATTTCACAACACCAGGGAGTTCCTTGCAAGTTCACAAACAGTTGATCGGACGATGCAGGTTTTTTCAGGATGATGTTACAGGAAAGGGATTCTATTCAATGATGCTGAATGTAAGCCAAGAATCTGAAGTTTCACAATACAAACACCAAAGTAAGACAAACTTGGGTCAACTTTTTTTTATTTTAGGTATACTTTGGTGAGCGATACTAAACGGGCCTGAATTAACTTTAATTAGTTCAATAACAGTTGGTGGAAACTTGCTACACAATTCCGGTATCTCTCCACCTCGAAGCAGATCGGCTAAAGAGAGATTATCCTCGCTGTTTTTGCTCATTCGAGAGACTGAAATGCTGTTCTTCTATGCGAGCTGCAGGTATAAAATGGCCGAGGCTTGCCATTTCGTATTCTGTCATAGAAAAAGCAGGCACTCCAAGCCAGCATTGTAGATGGGGTTTGACCTTGGAGACATGGTTTGTGCTGGCATGAAGGGGTTGGTGCAAGAGAGTCCTGAGGTCAAAAACAGAGAAGTGTTGTTTTGAGCAGCTCTCATTGAATTCAATTCACACAGATCACACGTGGTGGAAGAGTATTAACAGTACATTTGGGTTGGCCTAGAAAGCATAGAAACATTTTCAGTATCTTTTTAGTCAAGTCTACCTAGGAATTGATTGCCTTGTCAAACCCGAAATGTGTATCTCTTGTATTGTATTTGAAGAATTTTTTTACATTAACTGAGATGAATTGTACGGATCCCTCTAATGCCATGCATAATTGACTATTAATTTCTTGTCACATCACCTTCTAGCCACGAGAGACTGGTCAAGCTCGCACTCCTCCTTTGAAAGTTGATTAATTCTCAACAAACACATGCCTTTCTCAATAAAGATTGGGATTTGCATGAGAAATTATATGGCATTTCATGTGGATGTAATCCGCCATTGACAGGAAGATGGATTTTTGAAGTAAAGAGAAGGCAAGTAAAGGGCATTAATTATTTGTCATCGTCTTCAGACAAGAGGATAGAAAAATAAGAAAGGTAAGACAGTCAAGTCTTCTAGTACATTAGAGGCCCGAGTCACAAGTGAGGATGGCATTTGGACCATTTCTCTGTAAAGGGCATGCTTCATATAATTTATCCACATTCATGCCACTGGATTTATCCACATTCATGCCACTATATTTATCCACATTCATACTTCCTTGTCGGTCCAGTATAAAATTGCAATGTGCATATATAAATTTTAGAGTCGTGGATGTAGTTACTATGTATGTTTTAATAGGAGTTTGAAAATATGTTAGTAGTTATTTTTTTATTAAAAAATATATTAAAATAGTATATATTTTTATTTTTTTTTAAATTATATTTAATATCAGTGTATTAAAATGATATAAAAATACTAAAAATATATTAATTTAAAATAAAAATATTAAAAATTAAAATATTTTTTTTAAAAAAATATTTTTATAACGTAAAATTAAATATGTCATTAGTCAATAACAGGATGATATAGTGTAACTTAAAATTAAATATGCCATTAGTCAATAACAGGATGATATAGTGTAGAATAATTTAATGATCTTAGAGAATTCAGGATAACGTAATGTAAAATAATTTAATAATCTTACATTTTTCAGCAATATATTTTGTCTGTCCTTTCATTCTATATTTTCCTATAAATCTTCTGGTTTGCCGGTGATTAAATGTTAAAGGATGATCGTTAAATTCAAAATTCAAAAGTAAATGAAATCATAGTGATACTTGCTTCAAAACTAGAATGGATTTATACATTCTCTTCCTCCGATGGCATGGTGGTGCGAAAGCCCTTTGTGATCTTGAGGCAATGAACCCTTGGTGCTTTGAATGACCAAAGTATTTAAGAATAAAGAATAAGAGAGCAAAACTAAAAGGAAAATCATGGAAGTTGCACACAGATACGATGTCAATAAACAAATCATCGAGAGCTGACAGTTTAGACAAAGAAACAGGGGATCCACATGCATTACATAAATTACAAAGTAAGTGCAGGGAATGACAAAGAAAGGAGTGTTTGCACCGTGACAACTTCCCAAGCAAGTTCTAATAACAACACAGACTGTTTTTTTAAAAAAATTAATTAGTTAGATTTTAAATTTATTTTTTAATATTTATGAGTTAGAATTTCTTCATAACTATAAAAATTTATAAGGTTATTAACTTTAAAAATTATTAAATCAATTAAGATATATATAGCTGAGAAGATTTATATTAATTAAAAAACAAAACCCATCCTCGCCGCCCCCTCGTTGTCCTTTCTTGAGATACTAGACTAAGAATAACCCAGCCACCATGTTTACTTGGAGCAGGAGCCAATTTCTAGAAAATAGATCAAGTTTTTGCCACCATCTTTATCACTCTTTCCCCCAACCATCCTGTTATAAATGTCTTTAAGTCTTCACCAATTTTGGCTTTGATTCGACCCCTTCTTGATGGAAGGCTAGCATTTCCTTCCTCCTCTGGGGTGCCATTTTTGTTTTCCATGCTTCTGGTCTGAGAGAAAATCAGCAGGGTGTGTTTCCAAGGGATAAGGGAGGATAAGAAAGAAGCTTTGAAAGTCACTGGAGAAGAAAAAAGGAGAAACACAAGCAAGATATGGTACCACAGGCTGGAGTTTTTATATCCTGGAGATTGAGAGCATGAATATAAAGCCAAATAATCACAAAGTTTAAAGCACAGTGTGAACACATAGCACTTTCGAATAGTGAACGGGACATTCTGTGGCGGGTTTGTGTTCGATACAATAACATTACAAGATGTGGAACCCATCAGGAAATGTTGTCTCTCTGGAATTATATTGCAAGTAAATGAAATAAAGACAAGAATTGACAGAATGACAGAGGATAGGTTCAATCTGCAGATAAAGATAAAGAATAGCCTACTATGATGTTGTGGCAGACATCTAACCTTAGCAACCAAACATATTTGTCCCTGCTTTACAGCTGCCATCAAAAGACCTGAAACTTTCGACATTGTAATCCTTAATTCCTTGTCATATTCAAGTGTAGTCACCCTTTGAAAAGGTCAGGGCTTGGTATGCTCGTGGCGCCCAGAGCAAGATTTAAATGCATGCTCGATGTTTCTTTTAATTGCTTATACACACGCCTCTTGATGCTTTGAAAAGCTCGTCACAACTCCAACTGAAAAAACAAAATCCTATGATATTTTTTCCGCTGAAGGACACCACATGTGTATGCTTAAACAGGCTTTCTTCGGAGTCAAGCTTTAATTAATAAATCGCAAATATTGTATTTTATTATGTGTTCGCACTGTTGGTGGGGATTTATAAAGATGCATTTTATCTTCTGCTTTTGTTCTTCCTGTCAGGAAGAAATTTAAAAGAGCTCCGATTTTTACTGTTAATCCCATCACAAGACCCGATGAGTTCGCACATGACTTCTTTTTTTTTTTCCGTTCCTCTAATTTATTTATTTTTGCATTCTTTTTTTTCTTTTAATCCTTGATATTATGCTTATTAGATATTGATTTTTGTTTAAGGGATTTTCTTAGCTTCAAAAAATATTTTGATATTAGATGGATACTCAATTTTACAAAAATATATCTGGTTTTGTTATTTACAAGAAAAATAAAATTAAGGGATCAGAATTGACAATAGAGCAAGAAAGAAGGGTCTTTTTTTTTATTGTTCGCTCCCAGCATTCTTGAAAAAAGAAAGCCTTTGGGATTTGTCAGATTTTATTTTTGCTCCAGGAGTTCATCTTCTTTGCATTTCGCATTTCAATCTCTTGTTCGGAAAAAAAAAAAGATACAGCATAACAACAAAGAAGAAAACATTATCAGATAATATTGAATTTGTGAGAAACCTCAGACTATATTTGTGTATTTCACGGTGCGAAGATGCCCGGTCATGATCTTCTCAGCGAATGTTCATTCACCTAATAAACAAATTATCTCCTGGAAAGAGAGACCTTTCAATATTTCAATTAGTGAATATAAAAGAAGTGAAATTTATATAAAATAAAAGTGCATGAAAATAGGAGTGAGAGTGTGCAGGAAAGAGAGAAATGAAGTCCACTGAGCTTGAGTGTATTCCCTTCTCGCCGGCTTACTTGTGATGTTTAGAGATACCCATGCTTGCCCGATGAGAAGGAAAAGATAACGGGGAATATATATTTTACTAGAAAGTTGAGTATTGGTTGGTGTGTTATGCATACCATTTGTGGAGAGGTTGGATCTTGAAAATAAGCTATTGGTGACAAGGGTATTATTAGAGGTTGATTACTGACAAGAGAAGGTGATATGATTTGTGTTGGGTGGCGTATTAAAATGTGCGGACAACTATAGAAAAAAAAATGTTAGGAAAAAAGAAGAGACAAGAGAAAAGAACAGGGAGAGGTCGAGGGGCAGCCCTTTTTTTCTTTTCTTTCCTTTTCCCCGTACGATCAGCGGATCACTGGTCCAGTTCTCATTAGACAGAAACCAAAAACTACTGTGGAAATTGCAAGCTTGGCAAGCAAACTCAGAGGTTAAAAGTATGCAATACTAACGAGGGAAGAAATAGTTAGGATCTTCAAATAGAAGTTCTATGGAGAGCCCTTGTTCAAGAATGGAATCATTTGATATCTGTTATTTGCTTTGTGATTTATAAAGATAACAGACGCAATTATGAATTATTCTTCAAAGATTCCACCACCATTTCTTTTCTGCTTTTAGTTTACTGAAAAGAGTTCTGCAATGCCTTTACCTTCTGCTGACAGCATGGACATTAAAGCATAAAAAGAAGAGGACAAGAAACAGAAACTCTTTGTAATATTAGCAAATTCAGAGATGAATGAAGTTTTATCCCAGAAACGAAACAGACTCGCGTCCAGTCTAGCTCCAAAAACATAAAAACCCAGTAAAACTTGGCATAAAATAAGAAAATCAAATTTTATAAATGCATGTTTATAGATGAAATGTGAAACAGCTGGGAATCCAGCAAATGAACCCAGAATTTAAGAAATTCACAATCACCATATAACCTATATTTACTTGCAGCACTATTCTTAATCAACCAAGTCCATCTCCAATCCACCTCCTAAATGGCTAAAATGAAGAGGGAGGATATTCCTGTTCGCGTGCCTCGAAGTCAATTTATTGAAAATAAACAACGAAAAAGAACGGTGAACACGGGTTAAGAAAGCTTAATCTGGTGAATAAGGAAATGAAGCGAAGGAGCAGAATTGGTTGCCACAAGCATTTCAAGGTCAAGAGTCTGAATGTCCCTCTGAAGTATATGTGCTTGTGGAAGCTGAGCCACCATTTCCAATTCCCTTCTGTGACAATCCAGCCAATGAAACAACATTCTTTACTTTCTGGACCAGCTCCTTGAATATCCTAGCCTTAACTTGACCCCTCTGTGGAGGAACCCTTGCTGATCCTGAACTTTTTGGTCTCCCCTCATACTTATCTTCCATTGTTTAAAATTCTCAAGTAGGAGAAACAGAACACAAAGTCTGTTTTCAAACAGAGGAGAATCACAAAACTAAGGCCTGTCAAGGACCACGGATACTAAGGAGAGTTTTTTTTTTGGCAAAGTCGCTGGTAAAAGAAGAGAAGATGAAGAAAGGGATTATTCGGTAAGGGGTAAGGGACTGGTGGGGTATATATGTAGAGTCGAGGGAGGATGGTGGGGTATATATGTGGAGCTGAGTATAAAACAGTTCAATCAAAAGGATCCACGAAGTGTGGAGTTGATTTTTAAACTCAAGATAAATGAATACTTAAATTCAATTATAGAAGTGGAAATTCTGATGTTAGACAGCTGTTTCTTTGTAGTTGTTGAAATTTTTTTTATGGTTTTCTCAGTCATGATTTGATATGGATAGGCCCTAATTCTAGGCAGTATATGAAAATAAATATTTATCATCTTTTAAAAATCTCAGTAGTGGCAACATGGATTTTGTCAAAAACAAAACATTTCTTTGATAGTGGCAGCAGAACCAGTTCCTGGCTCCCCCACTCGAAGAGTCTTTTCATATATTCTACGCACTTCCTCTGATAGTTTATGAACAAGCATCACATGGCTCCAAAGCTCATGGTTTTCAACCAAATTGCATGTCAAGGTGAGGTATGACTACAGTGAGATTGAGAAGAAAAGCGCCATGGTTGGTCAGTTAGTGCGAAAAAAGAATGTAGCGTAAAAACAATTAATTTAAAAAAGACTACAGCTTCCCAGATGACATTTATCAGAACAAACGAGGCATATGACCTAATGGCTAGGGACTCGAGGCTAAGTAAGGTATTAGGCTGGGAAAAGAGATTATACGCCATAAAAAAAACACTAACATGTTTTTAGGCTGACACGTTCTGATGTTCGAGTGAAAATATCCGAGAAAAATAGGAGTCAAGGTCTCCTGTGACCTTGGTTGTTCACCGGGTTCATGCATGTAAAACCATAAGTTTCCATCCAAAATTTTAATTCACTCCAACCACTTTCCACTCAAGCCCTAGTGTGTGAACACGGAAATATGAGAGCAACGAGCCATTTGACAAATTTGGATCACATTAGCTAGCTAGCTGTACTTGTTTTGACGTTGATGGAGAGATTGAAACTACCAAGAGTAGCTAAAACGATGGGGACTTTGATCCTTAGAATCAGGTGTCAATAAATTACTTGACCATTGTTCAAGGAAAGGGGAAAAAATGACAATTTCCTTGGATATATACAGGATAATATTGCAGTGGCAGCTTTGAATTTGAGGATAAGCACCCTTCTGTTCTGTACCTGTGCCAGCCCCAAGTGAAATGTGGCTTTGGTTTAGTTCATGTTCCGTATAATTAGCATTGAAAATCTGTGTGGGGGTATGCCACAAGAATTCAACATTGAATTGTCTGCGCTGAAAATTTGGCTTCTCTGCAAGGAGAACATTCAAAATTTATGAGCTATAAACATAGATCTTCTAAGAAAAGAAACCGTATGTTTTCTTTTGGTCGTTTAATCCAATACATTTTGCTCACTCCCTCCTCGAACAAAATCACGTGGTGGCAACTGACAAGTCAAGAACATGGTCTTCAAATCTCAAAGTGCATCACAGAAGAAGGTCAAGTAAGCAGACCTACCTTGTAACCTGTTTCGATCACCTTGTTGTTCAAGGATCTGAGCTTCAATTTAAAACTTTTGGATTCAGTTTTCGGTGCTTCCTTGGGCCGTATTGTTTCTAACAGCTCCGTGCCATGACTAAACTGATCTGGGTCCAGATGACAGAACTCTGGCTCTTGCGATAGCAGTTGTTATATGTGGAGTTATTGGGCCAAGCTAAGCGATGCCCAGGATAAAAAAAAGAAGCACAGATAATTTTTTGGAGGCTGGAAGGATACTCTGTTACAATGCTGAAATTGTAACACTGCATGAACTGAGATGAAATTTAAACTAGTTTCTGCTTCTCCTATAAAGATGTAAAGGACCAGGTAACAAAAAATACTCGATGAAGGTATTGAAAGCGAGTGTTATTATCATAGCAAAAATGGCACAGATGAGAGTTATGGGCCTAATGGTAGCGGCAAATTCATGACATGATATTACTAATAACAGCAACATGTTAATTTCCATGATAGCTATAACAACGGTGAATTGACCATAATGTTTTTTCATCACAGTTAATATTCTCACTCGATTCATTCAGACGCAATGAATACCACCTGGTGATGTGAAAAGACTATTATTTAAAAGAATTTTTAGGAATGTATTAAAGCGTTTCAAATTTGAGAATATATTTAAATAATATATTTTTTATTTTTTAAAAAAATTCATATTTGATATTAGCATATTAAAATAAAAAAAAAACATTAATTCTCAACAAAAATTTCAAATTTTCAACAAATAACATCTTGACTGTACAGCTTAAACCAGGAAGGTTGCCCGTCTGAGTATAGTTGCTTTGTAATTTCTTGGGTTTGGACCTTGTCAAAAAAAAAAAACTATCACTTGAAGCAAAGCATAACTGCTAATCATTCTGAATAATAAATGGTTGAATTAACTCGCACGGCGTAAGTTGTCAACGATAAACATCTCGGGAATGAGAGGTATCCATCACTTTAATATCATTTTAAGGTAGGTAATGTTTGTAGTGGTAGTTTATTTTAAAAATATTTTTTATCCATGAATATATTA